ACCTTACATCGGGGGCACAGCGGCGGGCAGGAATATCCTGCGGCTATCTGCCGCTCACGAGTCCACTGGCCCCCCGAGATGACGGCAATGTCGGCGGCCCACTCGTCGAACTTGGACTTGGCAGCCAAGCGGTTCAGCTCAATCTGCACCGTCGTCATGTCCGCTCCTGCTGCCAGATCCTCGCCCGCCTCATGGTGGGCCGCTTCCTTCCACTGCAGCTGAGCACAATCATCCATGAATGCGCCGAGCATATCCTCAAAATGCGAAGGAACAGCTGTAGCGAACTGCTCATCACCAAAAGCAGGGAACAGCCAATCATCGATCGTACCATCTGGCAAAGGACGTGACCAGACATCAGGACTTTGCGGATCCCAGCCAATCTGCAAGAGCGTGGCCTGCACCGCGGCGATGGGGCCGCGCACATCCTTCCACTTCACCACCTGTCGCTCAGCAGCGCCACGTCGCAACTTCGCCAGTGTGATCGGCCACATCTTGCGAATGCGAGGATGGAGCATCGGCTGGGAAAGCCACAAAGCAATCCACTCCTTAATCATCTGCTTCCTCAAATCTATGCCAGGATCAGAAACCCCAAACACAGCTTGTAATGCCGATTCAAACATCTGCCACGCTTCGTCCCAGCAACACTCGCTGCAGCATCACGCCTCAAAGCCAACAGAGAAGATGGCGGGGTGCCCATTATCTGATGGCCAAAGACTGCAGCAGGTAACACTCCAGTGCTGTAGAGCTTCTTGGTGATGAACCTGGTCTTGGGAAGCTGCCTCAATCGCATAACTTTTCGCTGCCGCCGTCGAGCCTGTGCACGTCGTTTCATCATCCGAGGCGCTATCCGCCGTCGCCCTGCAGCAGCATCAGAGCCCAAGTCGACAGTGGAGCGCACAAACTGCACAGGGATACCTTTGCGAACCAGTCGTCGCTGTAACTCCACACCAATCTCATCAGAACTGGCGACAAGCTTCGTTTTGTCAGAAATCTTCAACCTGAGCTTCTTGAGCCCAGTGGCCATAGCGTCAGCAGAAGCGTCCAAATTATCAATCACCTGCTGCTTTTTGCCCTCTGCCCGACCGACAATATCATCAATATAACTCCACAATCCAGTCGGGGGACAAGCACGGTGAACCTCATCCAGCAACTGATGAAGCATAACTTTGGCGAGCGGAACGCCATGTCCAGAACCAGCGACGATCGAACGTGAAACCACCAAGGCGTCCGATATCATCTGGCCCTTCTTCAAAAGCCTGGGAGAAGAGTAAAGACCCACTTCCAATAAGAGGATGATTGCTGGAAATCCGATATTCAAGCCGGCCTGCATCAGCAACACAAAAGACACCGAGTCGTAGAACTTGGTGAGATCCAAGAACAGTGTCGCATGCTCAAAAGACAAGGCGTTGGCGCCTTCATCCATCGCAGCTCTGATCAGTGCAGCTCTGAGCGCTGAAGATCCAGCAATAGCAGTATCCCAAAATGCAGATTGGGCAGCTGACCATTCACCTGAGTGTTTCGCACGCACCTTTGACCATATTTTGTGCGGCGTCGGGACTAGCCCCAACACTCTGTTGCCTCCAGCTTCCTTGGGAATCGCAGCACCCAGGACCGAGCTGAGGGACGACGGCCAGGCGCCAGCCTGCTCGATATTATTCAAAATATCCACAAGACACTGCCTTGCCACCAATGGCTGTCGCTGAATATCAATGGGGTTCAGCACGTCCACGCCCTTCGCCTTCTTCGCTGGCAGCGTGGGCAGCACAGCGTCCACGTCCATGATGGTGATAGCAGGAAGTGGGTCATCTCGAGCAGCTGACAGACACTGGCCCATCATATGCAAAATATCTGCAGGCTGATCGACAGGATCTCGCCACATCGCATTCCATACAGAGGCAGACGTCTGGAGCATCGTCTGCTTGTCCGTGGTGATAGCACCTGCCGCGTCGCGGCCCTCCCACTCCAAGGGCGGAGCCTGCTTCACATGCCGATGTACAGCACCAGGCTTAGATGACCAGGACTCCTTCACCCACTTGACAAAGGACGAGCGCGAAGCTAACAAAGCCCGTGAAGTCGACAAGTCCGCCCACTTGCGCGTGATGTCCACCAAGGAAGTGAGCTGGCCAACAGGGGCGCGATCCAAATCAGCAGCCATAGCTTTCCACAACTCAATCTCCTCAGCGGTGGACTTCTTGCCGAAGTACTCGACCGTCTTATCAGCAGGCAAGACTCCAATCCTGGCCTGTACTTCACGTGCACAGTAAGCAGCCTGATCAGGGTCAGCCCCATTCACACGGAGAGCCGCATGCCGAAAAAGCAAAGTGCTGACTACACCCCACCACTCGGCCTGCTCGTTCTTCATGTGAGCGCGCCCAGGGGAGGAAGTGACCTTGGCCCAATAGCAAGCAGGGCCACGAGCACGACCTGAGAACTGTATCCAAGTACTGGCATCGACCTGCTCGTGAATCAAAGTGGCACGCTCCAATGTAGAAATCCAAGCGCCGTAGGACTCATCCAGCCGAGCACGCTCCTCAGGTTGCCATTCAAAGACAAAGTGCTGACTGCGGTCAAAAGCTGCAACTTTGCCACGGGCACCCTCTGGCTGATCCTCAAACAGCTGGGGGAGGCCCTCCCAATACACCTGTGTCTGAGCTTCAAACCAAGTCTCCTCAGGAATGGCGAAAGACACAGTGGGCGCTGGCGGAGGCGCTGGCGGCTCCAGCTCGTCGAAGCCCTCCTGGAACTCGATGGGAAGCGCCTGCATGCGCCTCTGCCTCTGCTCCTCTCTCTTCTTAGACCGCTTACTCGCAGGATCAGCAACTGCAACGGGTCTATCACGAACGGGAAGAGGCTTGGGCACTGCCAGGTGCCTATACCATCGCTGAGAACGGGCAGCCTTCACAGTAACAACCACTCCACAGTGTGTCTTCCATGGCACACGCAACTCAGCTCGAAGCGACAACTCTGGACAACCAACACTGGCAAGACCATAATCGTACATGCGCCCTGGCCCTTTGTCGCAGGTCGCTCGGCAGGACGGCGTCACCACGACGGCGCCGAGCTTCTGGGGCCAACCAGTGCCTCGCAAGGCCGCGGGCTCGATGTTCCAGTCCGCCATCACCAGCCAGGGGTCCGCGAGCGCGCGCGTGAAAGCCCCCAGCGCCACAAGCACGTCATGGTTCCAGCCCTTCACGCCGAGGCCTGGCTGGAGGTAGGCAGCGATCAGGATCAAGTTGCCGCCCTTGGTGTGGATCACCGTCGGCACGAAGCCACGGCAAGGGTCCAGGCGCCCAGCAGCGAGCGCCGTGCGCCGAGCACTCTCAAAGCTCGACGTCGCCACATGTTTCTTCGCCAGAATCCACTCGCCACCAGACAAGCCAGCCTCTGACTTGCCCGAAGGGCGGGCGGCCGTGTAAGCCATACGCCAGCCGTCTTTATCAATCGCCTGGCAGATGTCTGGCATGTCCTTCTCACCGTTGTGTGTCTCAACTAGGGCCACGATGCTGCGCTCCTGCTCCTGGGCTAAGAAACGCGCAGCCTGCGGGCCCCACTCCGTGATGTTGCCGAAAAAGATGTCCAAGGACGTGTCGTCATCAGACTCTGGATGAGGTACGCCTGCAGCTTCCCCCCTGCAGGACGGGGAGCGAGCCGTGCTAAACACGGCCTGCGCCAGCACCAGCAGCCGCAACGCCCTTGCCAGCGCCCGCATTGCCGCCTTTGCCAGCGCCAGCGGCCTTGCCATCAGCGGCCGCACGCGCCTGCGCCTGGGCGCTGCTCTTGATGCGCTCCAGCATGGCTTTCTGGTCGCTCTCCTGCACCACGACCTTCGCCGTGCTGGGCCCAGCAGCGGCAGCAGCGGCGCCAGGCGCCGCAGCGGCGCCAGAGCCAGCCGCGGGCGCGCCTTCGGCGCCGCCGCCAGCAACGGCCTCGCCATCGGCGCCGCGCTTGCGCCGCTTGGCCGCCGCCGCCGTGTGCGCCGACCTCGTGCGCTCCAGCAAGTCCTGGAACTCCTTCTGCTTGGCGTCGACCAGCTGGGTGACCTCCTCCAGCTGCTTCTGGAAATTCTCAAGCGCCTGCCTGTCGGACTCCTCCAGCTCGTCGAGGCACTCGAACAGCCCAGGGTCCAGGACGAAGCCCGACTGCTTGGTGGCCGCCTCGGGCGGGTTCGCCGCCTCCTGCACCTCCAGACGGTGCAGATCGGCGGCCAAGACAGCGTCCGCCGCCTCGTCGAACTTGGCCTGGTCCTTCTCAAGCTGGAGGCGGGACTGCTCCAGCTTCTTCGCGGCCTTCTCCAAAGCCTCCTGCTTGCGAGAGCAATCCGCCGTAGCCTCCTTGAGCAGCGCATGCTGGGGCTTGGGCGGCGGCGCAGGGGCCGCCGCGAGCTTCTGGGACGCCAGGGTGCTGAACTCCGTCGCAAGGCGCGCCGCGTCTGGGTCCCCATCGAGACCTGCACCAGCGAGAGCCTTCGACAGGTAGTCCCCGAGGTTGGCGAGAGACGGCAGAGACTGCCCATGGTCATGCCACCCACCGCCCGAGGACCACGGCGCCCACCACGTGCCGCTCGTCGTAGCACACCACCCTGGCTGAGGGGTGTTGCAGACTGCGCACACCCCTTTCTGCTTCTTGAGCCTCCAATTCCACGCCCAGTTGCCACACTGCACGCAAGTGGAGAAGCCCTGCTTGCCATGCTTGACCATCCGCTCCTGCAGGAGCTCACAAAGTATGCTCCAACAGGAGCTCACAAAAGCACTTCAGACTGGCTCGGGAGACAGAGCAATCCCAGTTTGGCACGGAGGCGCGGAGCCCCCTCGGTGCATCAGCCTTGAGCCAAAATGGCTACGGAGGAGGAGGAGGAGGAGGAGGAGGAGGAGGGATGGGGAGGGGGAGGGGGAGGGGAGGGGATTCAGATGGAGCGGGAGGGGATGCAGCTGGAGGGAGAGGGGGGGGGGCGGGTGCAGAGGGAGAGGCGGGGTGGGGAGCGCCCGTGCGAGCTTGTCCAGGAGCGGGTGATCGCTCTGTTCGAGCACATGGACAGGGACAGCCGCCGCAGACGGGGGCCCCGGAGGGCGGGGGGCACGCGGGGACATGGCAGGCTGGTGCTCGCGCGGACGTGGCGGCGACGCCGGCGCCAGCGCTCAAGGCGGGGCGAGCAGGAGGAAGAGGAGCGAGGAGCGAGGAGCGAGGAGGAGCGAGGAGCGAGGAGCGAGGAGGAGCGAGGAACGAGCAGGAGGAGGAGTAGGAGGAGGAGGAGGAGGAGGAGGAGGAGGAGGAGGAGGAGGAGGAGGCACAGCCAGGCGGGCGCACACGCCACTCGCCCTGGGCCCAGGACAGGCCCGACGGCCTGAGCCAGAGACTCCTCCCACTCGATTCGGCTCGATCTCGATCGATTCCGATCCGATCAGCTTCGCCTTCGGATTCCTGTTTGGACCTCGGCTTCCCAGTGAAGGCCTCATTGGCCTGCCGATTTCCGCCGGTTCGACCTCTCCCGACTTGGCTGCCGATCTCCGCCGACCCGGTTCATTTCGATCGCGGATCCGACTTATCGGTTCGATCCTGGGCTCGTCTGCAACCTTTATCGAAAAACGAGCAAGTGCATGAGCATAAACTTTCGGAGTTCCGGGCGGATTTCTTGGATCTGCTGTGGACACTGGGGGGCGGGCGCCTCCGGCGCCGCCCCCAGATTCAACACAGATGCGCGGACCTCCGAAAGCTGATCATTACGGTAGATGACGAGCCAATTGTTCCACATGTGTTCCGCTTTGACCCGCCTGTGAACCTTCATGCGTGCATGCCCATTGTCGCACCATGAACCTGCATGCATGCAGTTTCATAGTGCTTTCTTTTCGCAGTGTTCATCCTCATCCTCCCCGCCACTACCGCCATCGTCGTCATCATCGTTAGCGTCATCACCGTCATCGCCGTCACGAGGTGCACCACCACCGTCATCACCGCCATCAGCAAACACATCACCGTCGTTTCGTACCGCCATCATCGTCACCATCGTTGCGTCGCATCACCGCCACCATCGCCATCACCGTCATCACCGCCGTCATCACCACCATTGCCGTTCTCTCGCAAATAATGAACAACTTCGTCCACGGAGCTGGTTACGTTCGTTCGCTGAACCGATCACGCTCCTCCGACGTCCGACCAGGCCGAGGCCATCAGCCAGGCGCCAGGCGCGTGGGGGGAAGCAGGCGCCCCGCGCAGCGCCCCCTGGAAGTACAATTACCGAGCGTCCTCGACATATTCCTAGTGCAAGCGAATGGGAAAACGGTTGCTAAAAGACAAATCGTGTATCGCGCAACGCGAGAGGATTGTGATGGTTTTGATGTGGAAGTGGACTGGAGCAAAGGGTTTGTCACCAAGGTCTTGAAAGCTGTGTCAGCAGGATCCCGCACGTTCGCCATTCCTTCATTGCAGCTTCTTTGCATCTAGCGAGGGCCTGGCATTCGCTCGCACAGGATCATCGCGGTGAAGACAAACTGAAGCAGTATGTCGTCAGAAGGAGAAAGTGGATGCCAAGGATATAGAGTATCGCAAAACCAGGTGAGCGGAGAAAGAGAAGGCAGCCGCTGAGGCGAAACCGGCGCTGCAGGGGGAAACGCTGGCGTCTAAACTGCGCTTGAACTCTCTCAGGCGCGCTGGCGCTCGCCGCTTAGCGCACCAGCGCTGTTTACAGCTGGAATGCCCAGTGGAGCTGGCATTTCGCTGCGTAACACTTATTCGGGAACTGCGTAGAGGCGCGCGGAACAACTTCCAGATTCACATTGAGACCTTGCTGGCGAAACGAGATTTCACTTCGCCCGTGCATGTGCCGCACTTGTGGGACCCGGTGCCCAATATCACCACAGTGTGGTCGACCATCATGCCATGCGTTGGAAGCGAACGCCGCGTAAATGTCAAATGTGGCCACCCTTCCAGCAATTCCTCGATCCGAGACTCCCGCGGCATGTCTTCGGATTCGATGATGTCGCCGTAATCCTGCTGAGCTTGTTCACGGCGGGCGTGCCGAAACCTGATCTGATCTCATTGGCCCGCACCCCATCCCTATGATGTTCCACACGAACCGCTACATCATGGAGAAGACCTTCGTTCACGGAGTGATCTGCCTTTCCAAGTGGCCCACACAGGCGACCTATCCTGTCGGCGTGTTCGGTCGCTGGCCGCCCGAGCTTCCAGCGGACAAGCGGCCCGCAGACCCTGTGCCCCCTGAGCCCGTGCCAGTGGCCGACGAAGGAAGAATGCCAGCCCTGAGGCCGCGGGGGAGAGGTTTGCAAGGGAAAGCAAGCCAGCTGACGCGCCAGTTGCGCAAAAGGCTATCCGACAAGTGCCAGATGACTCAAGCCGCCACCTCCGCCACCTTCGCCACCGTCGTCACCGTCGTCACCTTCGCACATCACCATCATCGCCGCCGCCGTCACCTTCAGCATCGCCATCGTCGCCATCGTCATTATCACCATCATCACAATCATCGCCACCATCACCATCACGACAACCGTATCCTCGGTCATCATCACCATCATCATCACCGTCCTCACCGTCGCGCATAACCATCACCGTGATCACCATCGAGGTCGCCGCCGTCGTCGCCGTCACCAATCACTACAGTCATGAGGATAAGGACGGCGGACACAAGTTATGAACCTGCATGCGTGCAGGTTTATAATGGGATCGTGTGCGACTGTGGGCATGCATGCATGCAGGGTCAATCCTGGATCGAGCAAGGTCTGACGTTTGGCTCGTTATCTACCGTATGCAGTCCCTTCTTCTTCTACTTGAGCGGTCCACGCTGCCGGATAGCGATGAGCGTTCACGACGGGGCGATCTACGCGATTTCAGAACCTGGCGTCCACGTCGGCACGGCGGGAAGCAAGCCCACGTGTAGTTTTCCAACGAGGGCCCTGGTCTCGACAAGCCGAGTATATTGATTTACGTTTCCAGCGGGAGCTGGCAGAAGGTCCGCGGAGGCTGGCGGGAGCAGAAGAGGGGCGACTCTTCGGCAGAATCCGGTGGAAGATCGGCGGAAGCACCCGGAATTGAAAGCTACTAGGCCCCAGAGGGGGCCGAAAGGGGCCGCTCTGTATGTGCCGTCTCCTCAGAGGCGGAGGCGCATGGGGGTGGGGTCGGGGCCGCAAATCCCGATGTGCCGTCCCGCGTTTGTGTCTGGGGCCCTTTCTCGCGATATGGAGCGTGCTTGGGCAGAATTTCTGTGACAAAGAAGCGAGCGTTGACCCCCTCTCAGAGAGCGGCCCACGCCAAGGGGAGGGGTGGCGGTTATTGCATTGAGCTGCCAGTGGCAACGGAGGCGGCGGGAGAAGCGTAACCAAAAGGGTGGACCTGGTCACCCGCACAGGCGCGAGGAGAGTTCGCGCTTCGCCCTTCGCGGCCTCGGCCAGAGAGTTGGCCCCTTTCCAGGGTCGGCCCGTGGGAGCGTGAAGATGATCGCGCCTCGCGCAGCGTGGGGCGCGCAGTCGGGTGGCCCAGGTAGAGGGTGTGTAGGGTGTGGAGGGTGTGGAGCCTCCCTCCGACCTCGATCCCCCTCCCCCCTTCGACCTCGACGTCCTAGGCCTCCCTCGCCCTTCCCCCGCGACCTCCCTCGCCTTTCCACCCCCTCTCCCCCTCCACCTCGAGATCGACCTCCTCGACCTCGGCCTCCTGGACCTCTTCGACCCTCCTCGGAGTTGGATGGGGAAGGCATTCTGGGGCAGAGAGGAGGTCGAGGACCCAGGACTCGATTCTGCATGCAGGTGCGGCGCCAGCTTCGCTCGCGTGTGCACAGCCACCCCTCAGGAGATTTGGCCTGAACTGGCAAATGTGCAGGCATTCGCCTGGAACGATTGCAAGGTACCGACCTGGAATACCCAGCCGCCCCGAACCAGAAAATTTTAAGAACGACCAATCGGGAAACTCTCCAACGGGTCCGTCCCGAAAATAACAGCTGTGAGTGGTGCCTGTAGCACGGCGTGACCGCCGAGTACGTACTCCATTCTCACTCGTCTGTTGACGATTCGGGCTTCTGGAGAGGACTCCACGGGACAGGAGAACGGGGGGAAGAGGCGGAGGAGTGAAAAGGAGAAAGGATGAGGTTGAGGAGGAGGAGGAGGAGGAAAGAGGAAAATGAATTGGAGTATGATGTTGCTGCCGCTGATGTTGGTGGTGATGATGATAATTATGGTGATAATGATGGTGATGATGGCGAGGACGATGACGATGCTGATGTTGGTGATTATGATGGTGATTCTGCTGATGATGTCGATGGTGATGATGATTAGGATGTTGATGCTGCTGCTTCTGGTGCTGATGATCATGGTGATGCTGATGATGATGATGATGATGATGGTGGTGATGCTGATGATGACGACGATGAGGACATTGATGCTAGTCTTGATGATGATGATGATGATGATGATGCTGATGATGATGATGATGGAGGTAATGATAAGGATGAGGAGGATGAGGATGAGGATGAGGATAATGCTGATGCTCATGTTAATACTGATGCTGCTGACGATGATGATTGTGATGGTAGTGCTGGTGATGATGATGATGATGATGATGATGATGATGATGATGATGATGATGATGATGATGATGATGATGGTGCTGATGATGATGATGATGACGGTAATAGTGATGCTAAGGATGGTGGTGCTGATGCTGATGGTGACGATGAGGAGCAGGAGGATCAGGATGAGGATGCGGATGCCGATCATGATATTGGTTCCGTTGCTGCCGCTGCAGTTGTGTTTAATGGTGATGGGGATGATGATGGTGCTGCTGATGATGATGATGATGCTGATGATGGTGATGATGATGCTGCTGATGATGATGCTGATGCTGAGGAGGAGGATGCGGACACTGATTATAATGATGATGATCAATCTGATGATGATGATGATGATGATGATGATGGTGATGATGATGATGATGATGATGCTGATGATGATGATGATGTTGATGGTGCTGATGATGGCAATGCTGATGCTGATGATGATGCTCATGATGATGCTGCTGATGCTGCTGATGCTGATGC